TTTGGGAATGGGAAAAAAAAAAAAAGTGCTGAGTTGGCGTTTTTGGGGGGGTGAAAATTGAGGGTAAATTGATGGAGATGGAGATTAAAAAATCGGGTTAAAGGGAATATTTAATAGGGAAAATAAATCGAGGAATAATTGGGATTATTCCTGAATTTTTTTTTTTAGGAAAAAGGGTTTGGGAAGATCCCAACGTTTTTGGGAAGGGGGGAGGGGAAAGATCCCCAAAAAATATCTTAAAATTGGGGGGAGGGGAAATCCCAAAATTGGGGGAAAAGGGACCCCCAAAAAATTCCAAAATTGGGAGGAAAAGAGACCCAAAAAATCCCAAATTTTGGAGGGAAAAGGATCCCCAAAAACACCAAAATTGGGGGGAAAAGGGACCCCAAAAGGCCCAAATTTAGCTTCTCCCTCCCCTCAAAAAAAAAAAACCAAAATAAAAAAAATGACTTTTCCTTTAAAAACCTCCCAAAACTCCCCGGGGGGGGGGGGGAAGGGGGGACTTTATTTATTTATCTATTTATCTATTTATCTATTTATCTATTATTTATTTATCTATTTATTTATCTATTTATCTATAAATTATTTATTTATCTATTTATCTCTCTATTTATTTATCTATTTGTCTATTTATTTATCTATTTATTTATTTATCTAGTAAGTTATTTATTTATCTGTTTATTTATCTATCTAGTTATTTATTTATTTATCTGTGTACCTATTTATTTATCCATTTAAGTATTTATGTCTTTATTTATTCATCTATTTATCTAGTTATTTATTTATTATCTATTTATTTATTTATCTATTTATTTATGTATTTATCTATTTATTTATTTATCTATTTATCTATCTATTTACCTAGTAATTTATTTATTAATTTATTAATTTATTTATCTATCTATTTATCTATTTATCTATTTATTTATCTATTTATCTATCTATTTATTTATTTATCTACTTATTTCTTTATGTATTTATCTATTTATCTATTTATCTATTTGGCTATTTATTTATCTATTTATTTATATATCTACCTATCTATTTATTTATATATTTATCTAGTAATTAATTAATTATCTATCCATCTATTTATCTGTTTATCTGTTTATTTATGTATTTATTTATTTACTTCTTCATTCATTCATCTATCTATTTATTTATTCACGCATTTATTTATCTATTTATTTATTCATTCATTCATTCCTTTATTTTAATTAATTTATTTATTTCCTTATTTTGGGGAATTGTCATCCTCGCCGGGCTCTCCGCCCGTTCCCGGCGGGAGCGGCTGCGCCTCGCCAGGTGCTTAATTAGCGCTTAATTAACTGCAATTAACCCCCCGCTGGGAAGGCCGAATCGTTCCCAACCCGCTCCCGGCGCCGGCCAAGAAAATCCTTCCCGCCTGCAAAAAAATCGGGAATTATTCTGGGAATAACGGGAGGGAAATTCTGGGAATAACGGCAGGGAAATTCTGGGAATAACGGCAGGGAATTCTGGGAATAACGGACAGGAAATTCTGGGAATAACGGACAGGAAATTCTGGGAATAACGGCAGGAAATTTTGGGAATGACGGGCAGGGAATTCTGGGAATAACGCCAGGAAATTCTGGGAATAATGGGAGGGAAATTCTGGGAATAACGGACAGGGAATTCTGGGAATAACGGGCAGGGAAATTCTGGGAATACCGGGCAGGGAATTCTGGGAATAACGGGCAGGAAATTCTGGGAATAACGACAGGGAATTCTGGGAATAACGGGCAGGGAATTC